TCAAGGTCAGAGCAGATGAATGGTTAGCCGCGAATGTACCTTGCCGTGTGGAAGGTGCGGCCTCCCCACCTTCGGGGACAGTTCGACCTTCATAGACGGGTTGTTGACGTACATGGGGTACATCTATCCTTGCAGGTGTGTTTGCAGCGGGTATATGTGATCTTGTCACCTTTGCTAGATCATTAAAAGCATCTGGCATGCTTTGAAGATCTATAATTCGTCGCACCTCAGTTTTCAGACTAAGTAGTGCGGGGATCTAAATGAGACATAGTGGGAGCATACCACGACAATTTACGGCGTTCTACGTGAACGTTAGCATGCTTATCTCCCCATAACGACGGGAATAATGTCTCATCAAAGTGATAATATGCAAAATGTGCAGTAAAGAGATCTCCTGTCAAGGGTTCTAAGTATCGAACAATTGATGGCAAATCATAACCGATATAAATTCCCATTTTTCTCTGAGGACCCATTTTGGTACGTAGCGGTGGCGCTATTGGCACATAAATGGTGCACCCAAACACCCATATATGCGAGACGTCAGGCTCGTATCCAGTGACCAACTATAACAGTGAATGTGGTTGGGTAGAGGTGGGCCTCAGGCAGACCAACATAGCTGCGTGCAATATTGCATGACCCTAGGCAGATACCAGCAATTTGGTTTTCATAACCAAAGTTCGAGCTATCAATTGAAGGTGCTTTATGAAAGCTTCTGCCAGGCTGTTTTAGGTGTGAACATAGGGCACATGATGTTCCACATCAATCCCCACTAACATGCAATAATCGTCAAAAGTCTGTGATGTAAACTCTCAAGCGTTATCCAGTTGAATCAACTTAATCGGTTAATCAGGGTGGTGAGCCCTTAGCGTAATGATTTGAGCTAGGAGTTTTGCAAACGAGGTGTTACATGTGGACAACAAGTAAACATGTGACCATCTTACCGATGCATCAACCAACATCATAAAGTATCGAAATGGTCCACAGGTTGGTTGGATAAGTCCATAAATGTCCCATTGAATCCTTTGAAGAAACTTAGGGGGGGTCATGAATAATCTTTGTATATGAAGGTTGAGTATTCAACTTCCCTAAAGAGCACGCTTTGCATGGTGGGAGTCCAACATAGGGATGTAACTTATGCTAGTGTGAAGATTTGAGGATACGACGCATCATGTCACGTCTAGGATGTCCCAAACGGTCATGCCAAAGCAACAAAGTGTCCTGGAACTCAGGCATAGGGCCAGCCACATTGTGGGCTTCTATGCTGCGAATGGTTGTGATGTACAACCCACTCGACAGACGTTCCAACTTCTCGTGAATATGCTTTTGGCCATATTCGTATAAAGTGATACAAAGAAATTCAGAACCATTATCTTCAGTGGTTTCAATATGATATTGATTATCTCGAATATCTCTAAAACTCAACAACGTTCTTCCGGAACGTGGAGAATATAGTGCCTCCTTAATGGTCAAAATTGTACCATTAGACAACATGATACGTGTCTTTCCGTATCCTTCAATCAGGTTGGATGAGCCTAAGAGAGTTGTCAAATGAGCTTTCTTGGGTATTAAGTTAGTAAACTAGTGTCGTTCACGCAAGATGGTGTGTGTGGTTGCACTATTTACCAGACAACTAACTTCCCCACTAGACATATCTAGAAATAAATTGATTGAATTGATCACATGTATAAATATAAGTCCATTCATTCAATTAAGCAATTCGAGAAAATAATATCCATTCAAAGAACAATCCATAATTCAAAACAAACCAAAACCAAACAAATTATTCCAAATACTTAGAAAAATTGTTCAAAATTAAACCATAAACCTAGCAAAATAAAGGGGGGGGGGGTAGGGCCAACCACTAGGAGTAAACACCCTAAAAACATGTCTAATTTATTCATCATAGGCGTTGACGCCTCTTGAAAATCTGATATCTCCATTGATGTAGTTGTATCTTCTGGATGATCCACATGTGCAAAGTTAGACTCACGACGGGAATGATACTTGGCAATAGCCTTAGGGGAAGCTCGGTATACGCATGACCAATAATCTTGTAATCCATAATGATAGCACATGTCCAGTTCAGTAGAAGCGGGCTGAACGGGAGCTTTGTCCTTGTTCTTGAAGTTTGGGGCCTTAGGGGCGAGTGGTGCATGTTGCTGGGTCACATTTCTTCTCTGTTGACCTTTGGCCCTGGTTGGGCTTGCCGCCCATTGCCATGGTTATGACGATTCTTTCATTGTTTATGGCTGTTATAATAGGTCGCATGCGCTTCAGGCGCCGCGTTCGAGCCAGTAGGTCGAGCTTGATGATTCTTCATCAAAAACTGGTTCTACTTTTCAATGAGAAGTAAAACAGAGCTCAAATCCGAAAACTTGGTGAATTTATGTGCCATATGTTGTTGCTGTAGAACAATTTTTGTGGCATGGAATGTCTAATAGGTCTTTTCTAGGAGATCTGATTCGGTGAGTTCCACTTTGCAGAACTTTAACAATGAACAGATTCTACAAACTTCAGAGTTGTATTCATTCATGGACTTAAAGTCCTGGAAGCGAAGATGCTGCCAGTCGTGTCTTGCTTCAGGCAAGTATATGTCTTTCTGGTGATCGAAACGGTTGGCTAGAGCAAGCCAAAAGGTGCGTGGGTCATCCTCAGTGAGATACTCAGTCTGCAGTGCATCATGGATGTATGTTTGGATAAAAATCATTGCAATAGCCTTCTGAGCTTTGTCAACAAGTTTGTCAACGATAGGTGCCTCGATGGTGGCTCTAATGCCCTTTGCAGTCAGATGGAGCGTCACGTCTTGAACCCATTTCAAATAGTTTTTTCCAGAGACTTCTAGAGAAATCGAGCTTGTTCAAGTTCGACATATCCCTAAAACAGAGGGAAAAACGTGAGTAGTCAAATGGTAAGCCATAGACATATATCGTAGCACATATAGGTTCTATAGACATGTATTTGTTTAATTTATGCATGAAAACTACAAGTTTCATGTGGTATGTTTTGAATGAAAACTTTGGGTTTCAAAGGCACTAAATTTGAAACTATAGGTTCAATTTAGTTTTATGAACAATTCGTTTAGAATGAGAGGTTCCTGCAAGAAACACAGAATGTAATATACTAATTTGACTATAGTGAATTTGAGGTTCTTCGGGAACTTAAGTGTAAGAGCTTTGTGACTATGAAAGTATGTGACGGTTCAAAGTATAAAAATAAATTATTGAATCGTTAATGTCCAAAAGTGATATTCAGGTCAATAATTTTGGATTCATTATCAGATTAATGGACTGCAGGTCACTTTTAATTAATTCAATAAATCGGGCTATACGGGATTGATTGTAGAAGCTAAATAATATTAAAATAATATTATAGGTCGAAAATATAGCCCAAGAATAATTTGGACTCGGGTTGGGTGCCTTGAGTAAAAAGGCATGGCCTAAAAAGTCTCAGGTGTGATCTCCAGGTCACGAGGTGAAGGGGTAAAGGCCTAGCCATTAAGGCTAGTGTGTTGGACCAAGGGGGTAGGCACGAGAGCAAGGCCCAGCAAGAGCTGGCCTGTAGGTGTGGTGCGGGGAGCCTAACCATAAGGGCTAGCTGCATGTGATGCGGGCCAAAGCATCTACAAAGCCCAGCAACCATAAAGGTTGCGGCATGCAGGCCGTGGGCCGAGACAAAAGGGCAGGGCTACAGGCCCGTGTGACATGGACCCAAGCCAAGGCTTGGTGCTATCCGAGGTAGCAGCAGACCCAAATAGGGTTGCGCAAGTGGTCCATCTCGTCAATGCAATCTACGGTGATGCCGTGGTTTTGCCACGGCAATGGTGCCTCAAATCCCAAGTTCCAATCCCTTTTTTTTTTTTTTTCAAAATCCTCTAGGGTTTAGGAAACCCATATTTTCTTCTAATTTATTTTATATAATTTGACTCACAAATTTTAGATAACAATTGAATTGTGTGATGCATGAAACAAATATATATATTGACAAATATATGAACATATACAATATATATATCGAAAGGAAAATATAAACATAGAGGGGTTCATGCATCATGGGGAATGTTTTCATGTTTCGTGGACGTTTTAAATTTCTTCTTTTATTTTATGCATACCTGATTAGCAGAAAACGAATAAGCCTTTGAATTTGGTGGATGATAGCTTCCTCCTATGATGCGTCAATTCCTCAGCTTCTGGCAAGAGCGTGCTGATAACGTGTTGTAAGCCTATTTGATTGAACGATCTAGGGTATAGAGAGGGGGGGCGGCTATGATTAGAGAGAAAAGAGATTGATTTAATTGTGAGGTGTGTTTAATTCACCCTATTGTGCCTTTATTTATAGTAGTAGGATAGGTAAAAACCTTTCTCTTTAGGATTACAACATTTAATAGGTAATCTACTCATAATAGGAATATAAGATACATTCCCATATCTACTAGGATTTACACAATCACATTCCTATTCTAAATACGACTGCAACAAACATATATATATATATATATTATGAAATATATATGATGAATATACATCATTCGCAAGAAGTGGTATGTGATAACCACATTAATTAAAATATCGTGTATTTTCAAATAAACCGTCCTCAAATTGGATTCATTACTTATTTCATACCATTGACATTCAATGGCAACTCGTCAATATTACAATTTAGAATCGTTTCAAACTTAAGAGAAAGAGAACATATTAGAGAACCAACATAATCAGGGGCACTTGAATGTTTTTGCCAGTTGAGGACCTTGAGGAAGGGGACACTAGAGTACAATCTTATAAAAACCAAAACGTACCATATTTTGCTCGCTTTCAACCACAAATGAAAAGGATGGAAGTGATACCAACCACCCAATTGAACAAAAAAAATCTAACTTCAGCCCCACGCATGGACCCTAGCACAATTTCAGCCTTTAATCCTAACAATTAGATGTGCTGTTGACAGTCCCCGATTTCTAGCCGGTGATGCGTAAACCTCACATTACATAAATGGTCATAAATCATTCATGCACACAAGCGTGTAGCTACTGAACTTCGTAACATTTCTCTTAACAATTATTTGTCATTTCATATTTCTATAAATATTCACCTCCCGGTGATTGTTACCTTCAAAATTGTGATTTGTAGTGACAGCAGCAATGGACTTTAGGTGTTCCAAGGACGTTGCTCTTTTCATTCTCTTCAACATCATATTCTCGTCCCTCGTTTCCTCTCATAAGGTTCCATGCCCTCCTGCAAGTCCTTCCCCGCCTCCCTCTATTCCAAAGGAGCAAGCCAAATGCCCCAAAGATACCCTTAAGTTTGGTGTTTGTGGGAGTTGGTTAGGGTTGGTGACCGAGGTTATTGGGACTAAACCCAGCAAGGAATGCTGTACCCTAATAAAGGGCGTCGCAGATCTTGAAGCTGCATTGTGTCTCTGCACTGCAATTAAGGCCAACGTCTTGGGAATTGTCAAGCTCAATGTTCCTGTTGCTTTTAGTTTGCTTGTTAATGCATGTGGCGGAAACGTGCCACAAGGCTTTGTCTGTGCTTAATAGAACTCATCGATCTCAACCTTGATCTGAATTAATCACTGTTTGACATGTACTCATTCATAGTTCTGTTAATTTGTTTCATGGAATAAACCAGATTCAGTTAGGTGTATAATTTACATTATGCATGGTTTAGCTATAGCCAAAACTTTAATGAAAATGACTGATGTATGGAATGCAGGCTCATGCTTTCTGTGTAATTCCAGGGTGCAAGCGAAAGAAAATGATTTTCACTCAGCATTTATTTTCCCATGCACACTATGTTTATTTCTAAGTTTTTGATTGAATAAAGCAAATGAGAATGAAGGAATGGAAATAAAAAGAGGTGAAGAATAATGGGTTTTTGCGCAAGTATCACTTGTAAGCATGTGTGATAATACCGCATGAATTTTCATTTAATTTTTTCTTTCTTTTTTTACTATTTGGACTCTTTTAATTGTTGGAATGTACCATCTATGTTACTTTCCATCTATTTTGTCATTAAAACATGTCACCTATAGGGATATTCTCTTTAATTAATTTCATGGGGCTGGTTAGAATCAAATTGACTCCAAAATAATACTGCCTAAGTCAATATGGCGTTGATTGGGGGTTTGCACCGCCCCAGTTCAACAATTCTCTTCATACCATTTTGAAACTTTAAATTTGAATAAATTAAGGTGAATCTCACACTCACTGGCTGACCTACAAAAAAGGGTTGAAAGTTCATTGTAAATGAAAGATTAAATTTTTGTATAATTTTCACTTCAATTCTTCAACAACCCTTGCTAAAATCCAACCCGAAATCAACTTCTCATTTTCTCTTACCTAACTCCAACGCCACTAAAAGATGCTTTTAACTTCGTACAGATTGATTCCAGCAAGCACTAAGAAGTGAATTGATAAAAATGCCCTTCCACATGAGGGCTGCGTGATATATTTTAACGGAAAATTGGATGGAAAGTAACGTAGGTGGTAGATTCCAATAGTTAAGAGAGTCTAGGTGGTAAAAATAAAAAATTGAAAATTGAGGTGGTATTGACGCACATGTTTGCAAGTTCATGTAGTGCTTGTGCAAAATCTCCAAGAGTAAAAGTGTGCAAAAATCATTTGCTAAATGAAAATGTTTTTTCACCCAACTTATGTTGTCGAATAGTGCTTAAGATTGTTATGTGAATTTAGATCATACATTTCAAGAACTGTATTAACTTTTTTCGTTGCTGGTTGTCAAAATGAGAAGAAATATAACTGACACTACTATAAAAGGGACTTATAGTGTCAGTGGGTGGTGTCGGTTTAATATAATGTAGTGGCACATAAGACAGTTGCGATACTAATTGAACATGACGTCGGATTTACTGTCGGTTATAAGCGACATATATTTTAATAATTTTAAATACTGGCGTTGCTTTAAACAAAACAGTGTCGCTTTTAAGCGACATAAAGTATTGGTGTCGCTTCTAGGTGACACTAATTATTGTTTTTAAATATTTAATAATTTTATAACCCTAAAAAATACTATAATAATTATATATATATTAATTTAATAATTTTATACCCTTAAAAACTATAATAATTATATATATATATATATATATATATATATATATTAAATTAAATATTAAAAATTGGTGACCATTGGATCGGCTTAAATATACATACCATTCAATTTCTTAAGTGTTATATGTACAAAATAAATAAATTTAAATCTACTTAATAAATATATATATATATATACACACAATTGAACTTGATGGGATTTTCTAACTCAACAATCCAACCATCAAACAGCTTCAAGATCATTGTCAACAACTTAATTGTTAACAACGACGAAAACCTTTTTCGAAATTATCAAACAAAAATCACGATTTAACGGTTATTTTTAAATTCTGAAATTTTAAATGAATGATTTTTAAAGCAATATACATGGGTCCTTGACCCTATAAGATGAATACATGAATGAATTCGATCTTCAATTTTAACAATATTGAAACATAGTTGGAATAACAAAATAAACACAAAATCTTAATTTACTTAATGAAGTATGATGAAAAAAAAACTCTTTAATGGTTTAGTGAATCTATAAAACTGTTTTTGGGATGGGATGCAATAACGAAACTATTACATACGATCCAACCGTTACAAAACATGTATGTATAAATAACGATCGAAAATCGCATAAATATGTAATTACTAAGAAAAAAATTATAGCTACTTAACGAGAAAACAACGGGTAGCATATTTTCAAAAAAATTACAGAAAACAAAATATGAAACATGATTTAGAATTTTAACGTAATTTGACAAATTTTTTTCCAAACGGTTATACACATAAGACGAAAAAAATCACGATTTTCAATGGTTATTTTAACTTTTTTTCTGATTTTTTTTTCTTAAACTGAATTATTGACCGAATTAATGAAAGATGTTTCATTTAAATCTTATACACTGTGATACCACCTAAAACTATACTATAAAATCTTAAATGAGAGTAAGAAATTGCGATGATAAATTTACTTTCATTAATGATCTAAATTCTAGTTGTATAACTAATCAACACACAAAATTACGAAAAAAAATCATGCCAGAATATACCATCGTTACAAAACTATAATTTAATCGAATAACATCAAATTTAATGGTTAAAAAAACAAACAATGATTTTTTAAAACTAGGACTACCAATGACTTATAAAGACAATCGAACTGCATTTTTTTTCACTTGCTGCGGCTGCTCAATTTCAACCTCAGTACAACTCAATGACTCCTTTTCCTGTGCAATAGCTGAATTCTCGCGCAAATATTCTTTATGAACTAAAACTAATTCAAAAATCAACACTTCAAAATAGTTATTGTTCTTATGTTGTTAAATAAATTGAATTATACGAACCAAAGAAAATATAACAAAAAAAAACATTCAGAGATCAAGTAACAGGGAACTATAAATCTTTTTCGACAAATATTTATAGATTCAAGATGCAAGAAAATCGGGTGTTATTGAGTATGAAAAAATTACCATCAAGTTTCGCAATGACTTTTTCCACAAACAAGTTTGAACGATCGCTCCCGCAACTTTATAAAATAACCAAAAATAAACGAAGAATTCACAATAAAATATCATACTATTTTTAGACATCCTTACTAAAACTGTAAATGAATACAGAAACAAATAAAAAATCAACTAAACAAGTTCACAGCAACTAAATACAAAAAAATTCAACCACAAACTTTATGTATACAAATTGATATGCATACGAATAAATGATTAATATAAAATAAACACATGAGATAATAAGAAGTATCTTTTTTTGAAACGAATAAATCGGCGCATTTACTAAACTAATTTGATTCTCGATCTTAACCGTCAACACAACGTTGACTGAAATTTCTTGAAAGATTTAAATTGCCAAAAATAAAAATAAACAAATACATTCAGAATTATCAAGTAAACAGGACAAGGGAAAATTTGAAATTTAACTAATCCAATTTATATACTGATTTAATAATGAAATTTATTTTCTTAATAACTTTTCAATTTTTTTTTACGAAACTTCCCTTGACTCAACTCTATAAATGAATACAGCATGAATCCGAACTCGATCAATTTAAATTATTTACACTAGTGGAAATCTTATGTTTACAAAAAAATCACTTAAATGAAAAGTATAAATAAACTCTAAATTAATGTTAGTGAATCTAATCTATCGCTTTGATGGGATACGATTCTGCAACATTCTAAAACTAAGTTTGTAACTAACCATTAACTTTGTTTGTATATCGCTTTAAAAATCGCAAAAAAAAACATTCCATCAAAAATCGCAAAACTCAAACACAAAACAGACATTTCAGAAATGAAAGTTCAAGTAACTTTATGGGATTCAACTCTTGTCATTAAACTTTTTCGAACAGAGAAAATTTTCACATGTTAATCGAATGAAAACTCGAACAATTTAACGGTTATTCATTCTAATTTCTTCCACAAAATTTAATGATTATTTTTTGATTTTACAAATAAACTTCAGAATTAAGAACCCTGTTTTGATACAAGAATGACTGATTTATTTTAACAATTTAAAATATTTTTCTCATATGAATGGAAATTTTAAGAATGAATTTGCTTTTCTTAAAAAAATTTAAAAGAAAATATTTGTAAACACTAAGTGTTTTGATTCAAAGAAAATTTTTGTTTTATATTATCAATAATCCTAGAAAAAAAAATTTAACGATCAACCGTCAAACTGTGTTTATTGTCAAATCCCTTCGCAAAGAAATTTAAGCATTTTGATAAGGATCAAAACTTTTAAAAAATTTTCAAGAAAGTCATAAACACAATTTTTTTTTTTTTAAAAAAGTTATTTTGAATGAAGCATTATGAAAATTTAAATGAAATTTTTTTTCGACCGTTTCATCTTTTTATAAATCTTATATCAAATAAACATCATAAGTCCTTAGTGGCCATCTTAACAAAAAAACTTTTTCACGGCAAACTTAGAGCTCATCGCAAAAATTCTCACTTTTAGTTCCCAATGGTACTTTCTAAGATTATCCCAAATATTTTGGAGCCATTAATCACATTTAAAAATCTCTGGTACAGTTTAACCAATCCCAATTCAATACTACAAAATTTAAAAACATTAACGTAGGAAAACCTCTGGTCAATTCCACAAAATTTCAACTTTAGAATCTTCAATAGGAAAGCAAAAATTTGCACATTTCCTGTTTTCGATAAAAACCCAGTCGACAATCATCCTTTATTATTTTTTGTAAAATATGGAAATATTGGGCTTTTTCTTTTCGAATTATTTATCAGATGTCACCCCAATTTTATTTTTTGATGTCATCGATCACGAACCATCGATCAGCCGTCCCATCTCAGCGTCTTCATTTCATTCAGAAAGTATCCACCGTCCAATTCCACTTGAACACTCACCGATCCGGGCACCAATCCGCTTGATCCAGCTTAAGCACATCGCGTCCTCCGTCAATTTGAACTTCACTTTCCCCCATCCACGGCCAAAATCACATTCCAGCCAGCGAATCGGTCAAACACCACCTTTAGCCAATAGAATCCAACCGCTCCCATTGTGTAAAAACAAACTATCCTCACCTTTTCAGTCCATCTTAAAAATATCCAACTCTCAGTCTTTCAATCCAAATTGAACAATCCCCAAATCCGCGAACTTTTATGTCACCCAACACCGTAATCAATGGCTTTATCAATGGCCAAAGTCCAAGAGAAAAGTCGAGAAGCCAGCAAAGGAGAAGAAGTCCGTCGTGGCGGAGAAAGCCCTAGCCGAGAAGAAGCCTAAGGCTGGAAAGAAGCTCCCAAAGGAGGTCGGAGCCGTCGCCGGAGACAAGAAGAAGAAGAGATCGAAGAAAAGCGTGGAGACCTATAAGATTTACATCTTCAAGGTGTTGAAGCAGGGCCACCCTAACATCGGGATCTCTAGTAAGGCTATGGGAATCATGAACAACTTCATCAATAACATCTTCGAGAAGATCGCCCAGGAGTCGTCTAGGCTCGAGAGGTACAATAAGAAGCCCACGATCACTTCCTGGGAAATCCAGACCACCGTGAGACTCGTGCTCCTCGGTGAGCTCGCCAAACACGCTATGACTAAGTTTACCAGCTCTTGAAGGGTTAGGGTTTGTGGGTTTCAATGTTTGGTACTTGAAATCAAGTCGTATGGGTCTAGGGTTGGGGTTTTAATTAGTAAATGTGTATTTTGCTTTCAATTTTTTTTGTGAATTTACTTTGATTTGGAACTTGATCTTTATCTTGGTAGGAAGTGAAATACGATTATGGTTCATGTTGATGCACAAAATCAGCGTGGACTTTGGTACAACAGAAAGTGTCAGGTTTGTGACCTTCGCTTGGTTGCTTCGATCACTAGTGAAGATAAGTACGTAAATGAATAGGGACAGGGAAGCAAACACAAGATGTACGTGGTTCACCCAGATCGGCTATGTCCACGGAGTAGAGGAGTTCTCATTAATTGTGAAGGATTTACACAAATACATAGGTTCAAGCTCTCATTTTGTGAGTTCTAGTGAATAGTTTAGTACAAAATGACATTAGAGATTATTGTGGGAGAATGATCCCTATTTATAGAAGAGAGTTTCTAGTTTTGTTCTAACATTGACACGTGTCGTGTTGTGATTGGCTTCTGATGTTGACACGTGTCGAGCTGTGATTGGCTTCTGATGTCGACACGTGTCGCATTGTGATTGGCCTCCTAGTTGAAAGGAAGCTCTTCTGGGTCCTTGACGGTATAACGTTGAACGGTGCTCAGTAGTTTCGGGATTGGTCAAGTATGGTACAAACAGGGAGTTTCTAGTTTTGTTCTAACATTGACACGTGTCGTGTTGTGATTGGCTTCTGATGTTGACACGTGTCGAGTTGTGATTGGCTTCTGATGTCGACACGTGTCGCATTGTGATTGGCCTCCTGGTTGAAGGGAAGCTCTTCTGGGTCCTTGACGGTATAACGTTGATCGGTGCTCAGTAGTTTCAGGATTGGTCAAGTATGGTACAAACAGTGCTCCCCTAAGTTCCTGAGTGAGGGAAGCTCCTCGGTTGGGGACTTGCAAGATCCAAGCCATTGAGTAATCACGAAACTTCTAAGTACTGAAGTGTGGTATCATTTTCACGTGCCTTATCTGTCTCATATGTAGATGTGGCATCTTCTCTGGAAGTACTTTTCCTCCATCCATGGGTGGTATCTTTAACCGATGAAGATGCACAAGGTAATGTATCAATTTCACTTGAAGCTTACTTGTAGTTTCGGGCTTGGTCAAGTGCGATACAAACCCTATAGTAGGAGTCCCCCAAGTCGCCGAGCTAGGAGATCTGCCGAAAGAGGTGACAGACAAGGTAAGCAGTTAAACTTCCAAGCAAGCAACCCAGGATCGGAGGTTCGACTTCGGCTTCCGGTTGATTGTTCTCCTTCTCCTTGTCTCTCATTCAGCTGCCAGGATAAGGAGAAGCAAATGGAGAAGAGATGATATGAGATACTTTTGCTTTTGAAGAAGTAACTTTCCACAGGCTTATTCTTGAACTGTGCTGGAGGGTTTTCTGGTTCCCTTCAGAGTATAAGGCCGACTCAAGAATTTGAGGGTCAAAACAAGTCCATCAAATCTAGAGTACGTTCGACCTTGATGATATGGGATACTTTTGCTGTTGACGGAATAATGAATGTGGTATGGAAAGGTGTCGTGCTGTAGTGATCTGTTTCAGCTCATCGTTGAACCTTCTGCTTTAATCTTTTGCATGGCAGAAGTGGTGTGCAACCTTTGCATTTAAATGGTCCTTCAGAACATTCCTTCATAGTGACTCATCCACGCTTGGCAGCTTCAGTGTAAAGAGCCAATATCTGATCAACTGTCATGAGGTATGTGCCGGTGGAATTCATGACCTTGACAGCAGTTGAGGATGAGTTCTCGAGAGCAATGTTAAGTAAGCAACCAGGCAAAGGTCTCAGGCAGTCAGTTCCAGATTGGAGGTTTGATTTCAGGTTCTGACTGACTGCTCTCTTTCTCTTTGTCCTGCAGGTGTGGACAAGGACGAAGACAAGGACAGGGAGAAAGCATGATATGGGATACTCTTGCTTTTGACCCTGATGATATGAGATACTTTTGTTCTTGGTGTGGCTTATTTGCTGAGGTATTATCGGGGGGAAATAAAGCTGAGTATTTCGAGAGGTTATGTTGAGGGTGCATTCTCGAATGCGAGAAAGGGTTGAGCATTTTTGTAGGTTTACCTGTCCGTTGAGGAGTGAGGTCGATGTATATAGGGATTTCCCAATAACAAGTAGTAATGCTATTCCTTTACCCTTCTTGGTCACAGCAATGTAGTGGGAGCTGCCAGCTTCACGTGTTTTAACTTTGTCAGAGCACTTTGAAAAAGTGGTATGTGGTATCTGGAAAGCTGATGTTGCGTGTAAAGATTACAGACAAGCTTTATCTAAGGAAATCTGGCTCTCGAAGTTCTGAGAGCTGTGCCTCTTCGGTTTTCGAACAAGCAATCCCATCGGGGATCTGGCTCTCGAAATTCAAAAAGCGTTGCCGCTTCGGTTTTTGAGAAAGTAATTATGTTGGGAGTCTTTTCTCGAATGTGAGTAAAGGTTGGACGTTCTTGCCAGCCTGTCTTGCCACAGAACAATGAGGTCGACACACATAGAGACTTTCCAGTTGTCAAGCAGTGGTGATGTTCCTTTACCCTTGTGGGTAATAGTAGGGTAGCTGGAACTTCGAAATTCTCGCGCCTAAACTTTGTCAGAGATCTTTGGCAAAGTTATATGTGGTGATTGAACAGCAAGATTCGCGTGCTTTCTACTTCACCAGAAATCTTCGACATATTGCCCGTAATTTCCGCAAAGCTGAGTGTGCATGTGATAGGTGTTGACGAGGCTGAAAAAGCAGGTGCTTCTTCGATTTCTAAGATCGGCCCTCGTGGTCTCTGAGTAGCCCAGCTTTTGAGAAAGCAAACGCCTCTTCGATTTCTGAAGCTCCGTCGAGTGCAGATTTTTATAGAGGCTGGCATTAAGTTCCACAACACACTTGAATCTCCACCATAGAAGCTCGTATAAAAATGTGAAAGAACCTGGAATTGCCAGAAGGTCCGGGACCGAAATAGTGCGCGGACGCGGGCTCGACCCGCGTCTGCTCCTGCGGACGTACACAACCAATTTGGTAAGGGAATGCTCCTTAGCATCTTTCTAACAATAAATTTTTATGAGTTTAACATCACTCGAGAAAAGCCATAATACGACAATGTTTGTAAGTTACAGCGCAAGAATTATAGCCTAGTCACTATGTCCCATGGGACTCATTAAAATTTATAATATGAAAAAATAATGTATCAATCAATATCCCTTCATAAGATAGATGATGTGGGACATAAGGAAAAAGAGGGGAGGAGAAGAAGGGGGAAGGGGGAGGGGGATTAGTAAGCCCTATTTATGGGATAGACCATTAAGAGAAGGCAACGTAAAGAAAAAGAAAATAGTGTACCCAATACTTTCAGTCGAAAAGACCTGTATATGGGGCTGGCACAATCAACCTTGAAGCCCATTTCCTCGTACATTTTGAGCTGTGACAGGATCAAATAGAAGAGTAAAATTCATTACGGGCCAATTGCAAATGAACATAGCAGAAAGTGAGTTTATCTAGTATAAAATGTGTTATAAGACTGCCTTGCATCACCTGATCAAGAAAACCGTCATTGGGGCAAACAAAGTCACAGCTTTGTCTCAGGGATTTTAGTGCATCTGTAGGAATGCATAAGAGGGAAGAAAGGGGTTAAGACTGTAGCAGTTAAGCATAAGTAACCTGACTCTGCCTTTTGCCCAATTCAATTGCTTAGTAATTTTTATATACTTGTCAAGTTATATATGCTTGTCAAAACTATTTTTATCACCAACTGAGAACCATTTGGATTTCAAAAAACACAACAGTTGCAAATGGTTACGTGTTAAGACAAAGAATACTTAAAGCCATGGTTTGTTCACACCTTCTTGTGATAGATTTTCTGTTCTCATCAGATATGCTGTAATGATAGCTGCACTGCAACGGACACATGCAAAGAAGGTTGTAAACCATATGAATTTGAGAATTCAGAAAACTTGAAAAGCTAATAGAATGTGGGCCTTTTCGACAAATTTCCGATATATGTTAGCAGAATTGTGCACAGCTCTAATTGTTAACTTCTCTAATAAAAATGGCATGTTTAAGAAAAAGAAAACGCAAAAAAGAAGTCCCAACAAGCAAAAAATAGAATTAAAAGATACGTGGTAAAAGCAGGGTAGACTTATTAGTTTCTCTAACAAAGAATTCACATGGTGTTTCAGCGTCATGAAGGGTTCAAAGATAATTGATCGTCCGCATTCAACAACTGCGGATTTGCTATAAGAAATGGATTTGCATAACCTTCAGTAAGAGGACAAGTATCTTTCAACAAAACCTTGTTCTTCGTAGAATGAACCTGAATGAATACCAACATAGAGCTAACTGCGGCTAAGTTCAATTCTGGTAATCAAGCTGATTGAAAGTATTAACCAGAACCAGTAAAAGTATACACAAAAATGAAAAAGGGTCAAAATGACACGCACCTTCTAGACACACCAGCAAAGCAATGGACCAAAACAGACCCCTCTTTTCTACTCCTATCGATAAAATCAAAACAAACGTCCAAATAATCCAACAAATCTTCATTCTCCGTATCTCTCAGTGGAACCCCCATCCTCACCAGCTTCAAATCCTTGCCAGCATGTTCCAACAAGTACAGAAGCTTATCGGACACCAAACAACCCTTTTTCCTGTCACCGGAATCATCCTCAGAAGCTGAGGCACCACCAGACCCGCCAGCATAGACCTTCTTGATTTCCTTTGTGGGAATTGTTAGACCCTTCCATTCGGAGAAAACTGATATTGACGCTGAACTACGAACCGATAGAATATGCGTGATCTCTGTGCTACCATTTTGGAGAATCTCTGCTGCATCACTGATGTTGCCAATGAATAGATTTTCACGCACCCGGTACGGCATGACCACTGACAAATAATGGAATTCTCCTTAACCCAAGTTCCCCCTTTCTCTACGCTATTCGGCAGATTTCTATTCGGTTACTGAAATGATGAAGGAGAACAAAACTCATCAAATTATAAATTAAGAAATCTAACTTCATATTAGATTAGTTTTCCAGTTAATAAAATCCTCACACAATGTTGTGGGAATGGGATCGTCGTAGTGAATTCTGATTTTTTAAACACGGAAACAATTATTCAAAAATTTCGACTTTCTCGGCATCTCCTAATTTTCTCGGCAGCCAAACAGATAATATCAAATTATAAATTAAGAATCTAACTTCATCATTAGTTTTTCCAGTTAATAACATCCTCACACAATGTTGTGGGAATGGGATCGTCTTAACGAATTTTGATTTTTTAAACACGAAAACAATAATTCAAAAATTTCAACTTTCTCGGCATCTCCTAAAATTTTCTCGGCAGCCAAACAGATAATATAAGTTAAGTAGTCGCAGTAAACTACTTTGCGACCCGAATGAAAAACCAAAAAAATCCCAATATTCAATGGGGGAAATTCAAACAACCTGAATATAGAAACGTAAATAAAATCCAAATAAAATTTAAATACTGAGAAAAATAAATAAATAAATAAAAGAGAGATATTTGGAACCTCAAAATTGGGATTACTCCGGCGAGCGAGGGAAGGTTCCTTCTCTTATCAGCAGCACCTTCTGTCTGCGCGTTCTTTTTCGTACGTGCGACCAACTGATGTGCCCTCTCGGTGAAAGATTCTGCACGTGCGAGTTGTGTGTACGTGGAAAGACCAGTCCATTTTGGCTGATGAATATTGGTTGGCGGAACTGTTGGAACCATTTCACTATAGAAATTTTTAGTTGTGACGGGAATACAAGTGGTACACAACATATTTTAATAAGAGTGGTGAGAAATTTTATTTTTTAAGTTATTAACTTTTTAGCACATATATCTCACTATTTGTATAATAACATGTGGTGTACCACCCCGTATACCAGTCACATTGAAAAATCCCTCGTTTCATTGGAGGCTTTTGAGCATATGCCTTCATAATTCTTGACCCGAAAAGAATGACAATCCCTATTGAAATTAAAGAATATTATGTGTACAACAAAGTTTTCAAGGAAAAAAATTAAAAGATAAAAACTGTTAAATTCTCTTACTTGATCTCAACTTGTCTAACACCTATCTTGCCAAATAACTTATTTGTAAAATAAAAGGTGAGGGGTGAATAACAACCATCATCGTTCAATGAATAGAATATGTAAGATGTCAGTCAAGCGTGCTATTTTACTCACATTCTAACATAATATAATTATATCAAAGTCTTCATCACATATCATGCCATATCACATCGTTCTTTCACATGTTGGTTATCCTTCATAATCTATAGCTCACTACGTGACCTCTAAATTGGCCATTCCACCCTAATGTCCCCGTGTGCCATACATTTATCCCTCAAATACCCCAACACTGAAATTCTCGTGCTTCATGAACATTTCTAAATAATCCACAAATCAACATATATAATAATACTGAAATAAAGCCTCATCCGCCAGCTCATGCAAACAAGGGAGGTGGATTGTCTACCCTCCCATTTCCATACTATTCTCATCCCCTCATGTTTGTGTGGTCACGGTTAAGCCACATCAATATTTTATATTGATTTTTTTATAAAAATAATAAAACAAAAATAATATGAATATAAAATGTTGACGTGGATTAATCGTGAGCACACAAAACAGAAGATGATGATAAGAGTATGGAAATGGAAGGGCAGACAACCCGCCTTTGCAAACAAGAGTCCACTTTTCATCTAGCTATAACAACACTAATTAACCTAGGAAAAGTAGTTGCCAAGTAGACTTGTCAACCAAATAAACATAATATAATAATATAACACATAGATATATGTCACGGTTTAGGTTAAGTAACTATGAATAATATGCAACAAAATATGTAAAGATAGATATAAAATTAAGGGTAAATTACACTGTACCATCTCGGGTTTGAAGTCTATTACAATCGAATACAACATCTTCAAAACATGTCACTTTCATACCTTATCTATTATTTTATTTCAATATAATACATCCGTTACATTTTCCATCTATTGATCCGCTAAGAGCTGATGTCACTGCCACAATTATGTCACGTGGCAAAAAAAAAATTTATTCATTTAAAAATAATTAATTAAAGAAAAGTTATAAAAAATAAAATAAACCATAACCCATCTTCTTCCCCGAGACCCCTCTTTCCTGCAACCTAAACCTCCCATCCCATCCACCCCACCCCGCCCCACCCAAAACCCTAAAATCAAAAGGGGGAATTGAATTCTCGAGATGAAATGAGGGAGTGGGGGTTTTGGGAAGGGCAAAGCAGAGGGAATTCTAGAGAGAGAGAGGGAGAAAGAGAGAGAAAAGTGGACTGAGAAGGAGAAAGCAGCTACAAGACCCCGACCCGTCTTCTTCTCCTTGTCTCTGTGGGGGCACCTCTATGTGTCTTCTGTAACTCTCGCTTCCAAACATAAAAACACATTTGTCGTTAAGTACTACATACTCCAAAATAAGAGCCTAATAAAAAAGTATTAATACACTACTATAAAATATCAAATGTGCAAGGATATGCAAAATGAAATTGTGATTGAGAATTAGGTTTTTGTGTATGTACTGCTGAATGCTGCTCTAATTGGAATTTATAATTCAGTGGTAGGGATTTAACTTCATGAAAGTGTGATTAAATCGTAGTGCTGTTAATTATAATTTTTTTTTAGTGATATAAAATTATTAAATTAATATTTTTCTTATCGTGTTTTGGGTTACCCGCTTGTATACCTGGACCGACCCATTATCTTAACAGGTGTTTATTGGATTACCCGATAATGACCTGATTGGTTATCGTATCAACTTGAAACCTATTAATTTTGTGTCATTTCGGGTTGGGTTAACATGTCACATAAAAAATTGCCATGCCTAACTTAGGGTCCTCATTTTGAGGACCCGTGAGTTCCTCTTTTATATATGAGCCCTTAAATGAATCTAAAAGTAAATTAACCTATAAGCTTAAATTGTCCTCTCTTTTTTTTGGTTTGTTTTGAGTCCCAGAAACCGGTGGTGTTTTTCAGCGAGATTCTGTAGAATCCGAGATGGATTCAACCCTGTTTCGTCCAATTATTTATGTGGGTAAGTCCCATAACTTATTTCCACAATTTTGGTTGAATGTGGATCGAATTTGAGTTGAAATTGAAGGAAGAAATCACTGTGCATGATCTGGTTTTATTTCCTGTAAACCAGCGAGCAACACTGGTGAAATCTCAGTGAAATCGAGGAGAGATTCGTTTCAAATTTACCCAAACTCGTGTTAGATGATAGAATTTGCGAGATATTGGAGAGTGCTTGTTAAAACTAAAGGAAAACTAATGAAAATGGCTTGAAAACTTTGAGTTTTAATGATAAGGACAAAATAAAGGGTAAAGTGAATAGTATCAGGATTGACTTTTTAGTGTAAAAATGTGGTTTTTCGTTAAAGTGAACAGTACCGGGTGCTTTTCGTTAAAGTTCCCTAAAACTAATCCATACTTTATAGGTGCAATTGTAAGAAATCCAAACATAGATGAGGCACCTACTAAGGTTATGCTCGCATTATCGGTGATTGGATCCCTTCAAACTAAAGTTTTTAAATGAACTACTTATATATATGTTGATGGATATTAATGAGTTAGTCTTTGGTTGAGATTTAAATAGAAATGTGATGAACTTATATGCTTTGAAGCTAGTCTTGGATGAGACTCATATACATTGGTCAAATGACAATAAAATAGAATAAAAAAAACTTTTATTAGAACTTCAAAAATCTCATTCTAAACTCCTCATAAGTATATTTTTCCTTCTAATTATAAAAAGTTTGGAGTGCAAAATGAGATTTTTGGAGTGCCAATAACACAATTCACTAGAATACGTCCATAATGGTGATTAATTTTCAATACATGGTCTCTTATATATTTGTATATCTATCTTCGGTCGTAGATTATTTGCAGGTGATATTATATTCTAATAGATGCTAAGATTATTGATGATTACCAGTAGTGAGTTTGGCTTGTAGATGATAGCGTACCATGCATGCAATAGTTATGCTAGTGGACGATAGTATGGTTATGATGACCTAAAAACTACTTAGCCTACCTGGCGTGCAGGCTGAATTGCTAATAAGCTAACTACGTCTTTCAGTCGAATGCGGGGCATGCCAACTCGTCAGCCGAGCTCGGTCGATGAGTGAATGAATGTTGAAGTGGTGTTAGGCATGCTAATGACTTTTGAATCTTGCGATTGCGGCCGAGGAAGGAACACGTTTCGATCTTCGGGTTCTGGAGTCTGAAGACAAGGATGCTAGTTCTACGAAGTTGAATAAATATTTGGCTTTCAGTGTGCCGAATGTAGTAACCTGGTGACACCCTAACTCACCGAAAGGATAATGAGATGACCTCTACCAACAAGGATTCAAAGTTTCCTTGTTGATTGAGACTTGGATAGATAACCGATTGGTCTCGAAACAGTGCTGTCTATCCAAACTAAAGGTGCTCCTCAGTTGGCTGGTTCTATAGCTCTAGTGCTGCTTATCCAAACTAAAGATGTTGCTGGTTTCCTTTACAATATTGTTTATCCAAATTGAAGGTGTGTTGGCGGGAAAAAAAGGTAAAAAAAAAAAAAATTCTCAAGATGTTTGAGAGGTTTCACGTAGAGCGAGAGTTTACTCAGGGCAGATTTGTGTGTTGACTTGGAGTGGGTTTGAATGATGTATTTCCTTCTCTATTTATAGTAGCAATTCTCACATGGCCAAAGTATAGTCCAACTTGGACTATATTTCTTGATCCAATCTGAATGGGCTGCAGCCAATCCTAGTATGTGTAGGACTTTGAATCTAGCCCTACTATCCTCCAAATTCAATCCTTGACCTTTAGTATATCCCTCTTGATTTGAGACATCATTGATATATGAGGATTCCTTGTTGTATCAGGACTCGGCCAACAATCTTATCCAAGTTTGTGATGAAAGCAAATCCTGGTAAGACTCAACTGAGCCTCCTTGGGTTGAGCTTTCCTTGCGTATATCCCAAGGCATTTTGGATTTACCTTCTGGTCAAGCCCATAATTGCTCTCGGCCCAAACTATTATTTTGGGTCCAAATAGATTGATTGAGTAAATGTATGATTCTAAACAATTGATTGAATGTTTTCGATTTTTAAACTTGATGTGATTTTCATTTACTATTATGTAGTTTTTCTACAATATATGTTTTACAAAACGGAGGTTAGTATGTTGAAAATGATTTTGACTTGATAATTAAATATGATCCACTCACACTTTGTTTTGCACCCCCTCAGGTCCTAGCAAGTGCAAGACTTACTTTGAGAAGGGCAAGTGAGCATGGCAGTAGTGCGGACTTCTTACATTGTAGGGTAGTTTTACTTCTGCTTGTTGGTTATAAATGGGACAACGCATACTTTGTGGTTTACTAATGTGTGCACTACTGTTATGCTTTGATCAAAATGGAATTTAGTTTTAAATTGTGTTCCCAAGTTGGGAGGTTGTGCAGGAGACTTAGATGATAGTATAAAATTAACAAATGAGCCTTT